CAATTTGGGTGAAGGTGGGACTGATGTGCAGACTACATCACAGAATCATGTATTTATTCAGGGACACACCGATCATCTTACTATTCTAACTCAACACTTTGTATTTTTAAGCAGCTCACGCTCCTTCCAGAAGTTATGAGTCCCTCCTCTGGAAAGAGTTTTTACTTTTGATTCCTTTGGCTCAGGAGCTGTGGCCAATGAAGGGAGCTAGATAAGCAGTTCCCTTCTGTTTTCATAAAACCCAGACCACATATGCCCTTTATGTAAGGATCATATTGTATAGAAAACCGCATGCCAGAGCATGTTGCATTTTCTATTATGGAACAAACGCTCATACATACTTCAACGAGCTGTGCTTTGTTAAGTCCCGGTCTGGTCTGTAGCTTGAAGTGTCTTTTGTACCTTCGAAGTGTGTTTACTTGTAACTGATATAAATCAACCTAGAAGAAAAAAAGGGGGAAGGGGAGGAAAACAATCTAATGTAACCAAAAAGGATTCAATCATTAATAGTTTGCCTCTCAAAACCATTTTGGAATCTCACAGACACAAGCACAGACCATCAGCTCAGCAGATACAATTTTGACAAAAAACAAACTGCACCCCACACCTTCCAGCACAAAGGAAAACAGCCCAGCTCAGTTTAAGAGCATTTTATTGTTAATGAGCATGGTTCTCTGCCTCGATTTAGCTGTGGACAATATTTGAAACTCATTATTGTCCTTTAATCAGTTCTGGGGTTTTTATATCTTCCTCAGTTCAACCACAGTAACACAAAAGCTCAGTAACAGCTTTCACAAAACATCTATGAATATGCTGATTCAAAGTAGGCTCCTATATTGTGATTTCTGCCCTCAAACATTACACAGGTTGCATGCAAGATATAGCATGCACATCTGCGCCGTGAGATAGCACATATTAGAACCAGAAAAAAGTCTGGAACAAAAAAGTTTTTTTGGCTCGAGGTGAAAGAAGAAAACAGCTACTCTTGCTCTCCAAACATATCCTCACTACCTAAGCCCAATGCAGGAGTTATGTGCACGGGCATAGTTTTTCAAAACTACTCTTCAGCGCAAGCTGACAGTTGAGAGAATTGCACAAGGTCCTCTCAGGGATACAAATACACAACTGTAAACCAGTACTCCCTCAGTTTTGAATCCCATGAACCCTGAGCAACAGTGACTTCCCCCAGCAACAGCTTACCCTCCCACCCTCCTTGACAATGTAACAAAGCTTAATGAGATGACTGAGCAGGAAAAAGCAAGCTGAGAAAGCAGGCTGAATGAGAAATTCTGCTAGGACAGTTGCAATTACAGGAGTAGCCTCCAAACTCACTGCATTAAAGACTGGTTAAGGCATTCACTTCCACTTTAAATTCATTTAGCAGCCTCAACTATAGAGTATTTAAACAGCAGCAGGGCTACTCCATACTTGGTAACCTGGCCAAACTTGACATGATGTCGCCCTGCATGACAGAGGCTAGGTATCCTTTGGTATGGTAAAGTTTACAGGGCACAAATCCCACTTCCCAAGTCACAGTAGGGAATCCACATCCTAGAGCATCAGGCAGAGGAGAAGCAGCAGGTTTCCACCAAGTCCTTGAAGCTAACAGTACTGCAGAAGCCTCTTCCCATCCCATAGGAAACACTTTTAACAGGTAACGATGGTCATGACTGAGATGGAAACTAGAGGCCTTGCAAGTCTTCAGAAGACTATTCTTTTTTCTTAGTAAACTGGATAGCAATTGAAAATAAAGAAGGTCAAGAGCCAATGGGCATCTAAGGTATACAGTAATCACATAGGATGAACAGACTGCTGTTGTCCAAGTGGCCATCTGAAACTTCTCAAAAATACTTTCTAGGCAGTTTTCTTTCCTACAATAACAATTTTAAAAGCCTGCTTTCTTGTTCTAGAGATATCCATCAGTTGTGACATGTTTTATAATTCTTGCATGAGAAAACAAAACAGGCTTGCAGGAGAGCTGCAATTACCACTGTGCCAGACAGCTACCTGAAGCCACACAGAACACCAGCTTTAGTCAGAATTTTCAAAGAAGCAATCCCATATATTTAACAAACAACACAGCCCTGCATCAAACTACTCCCAATCCTCTAAAATCCTCTTAGCGGATCCTCTTAGCCTTTAGATTGGAGCCACATGCCTTTAGGCAGGGATTCTTGCACAAAATTTCCTCACTGACATTGCTCGTATCTGTAGATGCTGACCATAAGGACACCATTAAATTAACACTTACGGAGCAATTTCTGAAGAATGCTTTAAAAAGTCCTCTTAGAAGGCACCCGGTAGTCATGACAGCCTCTACTCAAAATTAACACACTGAACACTATCCAGAGCACATGGGGGGGGGGGGGATGGGGGGGGAAAAAAAAAAAAGGGAATGGGGGGGATAAAAAAAAAAAAAAAGAGCCTTATGTACAGTCTCTCCCACTATATTATGCAAAAGGTTTGAAAGTTGTAGTTTACTTTTATAATAGGTGATGTTTCACTGGTCTGCAGGGGAGAAAACAGGTGAGAGAAACACAATCCTTCTCCATTCCTTTCTAGCACAGCTTCCTGAACACCTCGTCCCCCAAAACAACAGATAAAAACAAAGAGCTACTAACATTAAACTTTTTGTGTTTAATGTGGCTAAGACAGTGGAGTGACTGCAAAAGCTTTCTGCAACACATTTTGCACAGAAGGAAAGGACTGGAGGAATGGGACAGTGAAGAATTTATACCACAAGTCCTACGTGCAATTCCCTTCAAGTTGTCAACTCCCACAGAAGGCAGTTTGCACCCCACTGGAGAAGAAGCACTAAGAAGGAGAAAGTTGAAAACAGCAATTTTCTGAGAGAACTTGCAAACACTTAAAAATAATCTAGAGAATCTTGTTCATCCTACTCTGCACAAATAATTCAGAAAATACACCACAAAATTTAGTTATTGTTATATTAAGAACTGAGTGAGTCGAGAGTCTTCCCTTTCCCACACACCCTAAAATAAGGTGAGCTGTAAGGGTGGAAAAGCGGTATCTGTGCAGACTCAGCAGTTGTTATGAACAAGCTTAACACAGCAATAACAAAAAAAGTTAAACAATTTAGCTACCTCTGGAGTGTCGATGTCTTGCACTGGTGAGTCACCATCATCATCGCTGCCTTTCCTCTTTCTTCTATTTCTCACACTCTGAATTAAGTTTTTGTGGAAGTCGCAAATATACAGATGTCTTGCCTAGAATAGCAACACAATGCCTTTCAATCAAATCCAAGTAAGCATATCCCAGAATAATGACATAAAGGCACGTACAGAAACAACCCTCCAGCAACCACAGTCACATTGACTGAGGAAGCTTTTTTACTGAATTCCTCCAAATAAAGAGTGTGTTACGCTACAGATCACTGCCACCGGCCTGGTCCAGAGAACGCTGAAGCGCTGCAGTCGCCGGGCCCCGGAGTCGCAGCCTGCAGAGACACATGGGGACAGCCCTCCCTCCCTCCCCGCCATTCATCACAACGCGGGGATCGGGAAGCAAACAAACCACAACAAGCTCTCAGTTGTTCTTTGGAGGGCAAAAAGCCGGGTCTCGTTTCCCACCAGCTCTCACTTTCCATCTATATGTTCCCCTTCCATGTTTTACTTCCACTACCTAGGCGAGGTCAAGTAACAAGCATGCCTTTTTAAAAATTCTTGATTTAAAGTTTCCCTTTGTACGGATCTCCTCGTCTTTTATGAGCTCGTCGGCGCGTACCAACCCCGATTTTCAGAGTTGCGTGCTTTA